ATATATATATATCGTCACAAACAGAACTGCCCGGTAAACCGTAGGCAGAGAGAGAGAAGAGGACAACAAACGAGGGGCTGTGACAAACTGTTTCGTCGGAGTTTCACCGACTCATCAGGAGGCTGATATGTATATATATCGTCACAAATATATATATATCGTCACAAACATAACTGCCCGGTAAAACCGTAGGCAGAGAGAGAGAAGAGGACAACAAACGAGGGGCTGTGACAAACTGTTTCGTCGGAGTTTCATATATATATATTTGTGGGAGGTTTTGTGGCCCGCCCGGGGCCCCCCCGGGCCCAACCGGCCAGGCCCAGCCCGGCAGGGCAGGGCCGGCCGGGCACCGTCCTCACACAGTTTTTTTCCCTTATGATTATTAAATACATAAGAACAGACAAATGTGTTCGGCGGCAGTAGGAACCAAAAAAATAAAAATAAAAAAAATCTGCTACCATACTTGGGATCCTGGACTGGATAAGGGACAATTTCTAATATTTCTACACTGTAAATAGAATCCAAAGATCTGCTACCATATCTTTGGGTTATTTCTAATATTTCTATACTGTAAATAGAATCCAAAGATCTGCTACCATATCTTGTTTGAAGAGAAAATCCGGAAGAATGTTTATGCAGTTTTGGGCTTTTTCTTGTTTTTTCTTATAAAAAAAAACAAATAAATGAATTGCTTGCAGTCCACCCTTCTCATCTGATTACACAGCAGTCGCTGTGTGGGCCCTGGGGTGAGGTTCCACTGGCCACTAGCTTAGAGGATTTGCTTGAGCGCCTGAATCTGGACGTGTTTGTGGAGACGTGCAGAAAATCACCTTTGATCTGCTTTTCTGCGTATCTGCTCAAAACCCATCCACTTTCAGACTCTTAATCCAATCCTCTTTGCTAGTGGGACCTCCCCCCTGACGGACTGGCAGACGCGGCGGCTAGCCTTTCAGCAGTTTCGGGAAAATCGCCCCACATTAATGAGATGTGATTGCAAGTGGGTATCCCAAGAATAATAAAGACGACGACGACGACGACGAAGAAGAAGAAGAAGAAGAAGAAGAAGAAGAAGACGAAGAAGAAGAAGAAGAAGAAGAAGAGATGGGGTCTTAAATGAGCTAAAAGCTCATCAAGGTTCAGAAGAAAGGTGGGGACATAAGAAAAGGGGAAGGCAAAAAAAGCACGAGCAAAAGAAGCAGACACAACGACAGCCACGTCAGCAAACACCTTATCCAGACTCCGACGTTGGCGAAGAATGTGTCCGTGACATAGGACCAGGTGCAATTTGCCACGTCAGCAACCAACTTTCTCATTCTTGACGAATTCAAAGGCAAAGCGGTAAATCGAACCAGCAAATCCCTCAACACCCCCCCCCCCAACCCCCTCCCCTCTTTTCCTCCTGCTGGTGGAGGAATGTTCGTATACCTTAGTACTTAAATCACCAGACTGAAGAAAATCATCAGACAAAGAACGGATGAACGGATTCTACTACTGAAAAAAAAAAAAAAAAAATCATTAGACAGAGAACGGACGGACAGATTCAACTTGAGAACGATGCTCAACTCTCTCTCTCTCTCTCTCTCTCTCTCTCTCTCTCTCTCTCTCTCTCTCTCTGTGTGTGTGTGTGTGTGTGTGTGTGTGTGTGTGTGAGATTAAGGGATACTCCCACAAGGGTATTCTTTAACGTATCTGACCCCTTTTACCGCCACGGCTGGCCGCATCTGACCGCAATTATGTCCACACACAAGTTGAAAAAAGTGCATCTGATCTGTTCGAGTCTGGTCATTATAACTCAGAGTCAGCTGTCCGTCCGAGAGTCAGCGTCGACATCGCCATTCTGGATTCCTCCTCTCCCAAACTCGCTCAGCTTTTCCTTTTTTTTTTCTTTTTTTTTCATTTGGACGATTTATCGATATATACGCATGTCATCATCATCCTTTGCTTGCACAGGGGCCATGCTAATCTTGTCTAAGTTCTCTGCACCGGTCCACTCCTCTTAACGGATGTCTGGCGAAGGACCTCCCGTGGTCAACGTATTCCGTTGACGTCAACAATTTTTGACATGTGCCACGGCTGCGTTTGAGCCCATGGTGGGCCGCAGCGTTCTTGTCGCTGTTGATCGGGGGTACCAATCGGGCCCACAGCGCCGCTGATCGGGGTACCAATCAGGCTCACCACGCCGCTGATCAGGGTACCAAGCATTTTGCCTTCAGCGAAATGACATTGATACAACATGTTCCTGGAAAACGTTTTCTAAAACAGGCAGGAGGAAAAAATGGCGGGGAAAAAATGGCGGGGGAAAAAGGCGGGAAAACAACTGGCGGGAAACAACTGGCGGGAAAAAATGGCGGGAAAAAAAGGCGGGAAAAAGATATCGCTGCCTTTCGAAGGAGTATCCTCCACCTCATTGCTATGGAGGACCAGGTTCAACAAAAAAAAAAAAAAAGGAATAAAGGAACACCAGGGACCAAAAGTGATCACAAAGTGTTCCAGGAAATGGTCCAAAATCTGTTCCAGGAGCGCCGCCGAGCCGTCTAAGTTTTGACATTGACTCCAGTCACTGCACATTAGGAATGACACCTTCTTCCACCCCCTCGCCCACACCGAATAGACTGTACGGTCATTTTCACTCCATCAGGACTGAACGGTCGGCCAGAAACGGCTATAATGACCATATACGTTCTATTCAGCGGAACACGGTAGTATTCGCGTAAACCGCGAGCTGACGTGACATTCTCCTCTCTGTTCCAGCTCACTCCCTCCTCGTCGTCCTCCTCCTCCTCCTCTTCCTCCCCTTCGTGCTGCTCTTGGTTAAACTTCAACGCCATGAGCAATGCGCCCACGTTTGACTGAGAATGACCCCTTAGCCTTCCTGAGGTTATCACTGCGGTTGTTCATCACACTTGTCTGGACTATCCCTGTCGAGACTACCGTCTTCCCCCAAACATAAAGCATATGCGTTGTCCACGAGTACAACACATAGGTTAGGTTCGAATACAACGCATGTGCATTCTATTTGAACAGCGCTGAATTTCGAATACAACGCATGTGCGTTCCATTCAAATTTTCGGAATTCCAAGCTCTCGAATACAACGTATGTGCGTCGGGTGAGGACGGTAGATTGGGCGAGCGGCGTGCCCCACGTTTGACTTAAAACGGCCCCTTAGTCTTCCTGAGGTTATGGCTGCGGTTGTTCATCACACTTGTCTTGACTATCCCTGTCGAGACTGGATTGGTCCTCCACCTGGAGGCATGATGGAACTGAGGGACAGAACTTGAACTTCACTTCCGGCAGCGTCTGCGGCTCTACGTACACGCAACTGCCACGGTCAACGGTGTCTGTAGCTGCAGCTGAGTCAGACTCAGAGTCTGACTCAGCTGCAGAACCACGAGAGGTCCCAGAAGGAACTATGAAAGTTGTCCCATCGCTTCTCGGGCGCACCCAGCTGGGCTGTCCAGGGGCAGACCGCCGGAAACGACGATCACGAGGAGCTGTAGGAGCATCGTCTGAGGAATTGGAGGAGGAGGCGGAGGAGGAGGAGAAGGTGCAGTTGTGGAAGACTGAACCAACCCCCACTATGCCAAAGTATACATCGGCCCCTTTGAGAGATCGAGCACGGTTGCCACTGAAAGAACTGTTGAAGAATTTCCACTGAGAGGCATCCTCGTCGGCCGCACACACAGCCCCACCAAGCTCGGCAATGTTAGAGTCAAAGCTGCAGTTGATGCCGGTCAGCGTGCTCTCGCTGTTTAAGATGGCACCCCCACAGGTCTCGTTGCCAAAGGCGATGTTGCCCTGGAAATGGGAGTTTTGAACAAGTCCATGGGAGAAAGAGTCTGCCAGGATTGCCCCTCCCCCCCCTCCATGCGCCGTATTCCCAACGAACAAGCTGTGGTCGATTAGGATAACCGTCTCGTCCACAGAAATAGCCCCACCTCCCCCTCCTGTTACCGAATTGCCCCGGAAAATGCACCCTTTAATTACCAGCTTGTCCGCCCCCCTTATGTTCACTGCTGCCCCCCCGTTCTCCCAAGTGTCCGTTGTGTCAAAGAAGAAGTTTGCGAGCTCAAGATTCACTAGCTTTAGGTTGCTTTGCCCCACAAACCCTCGGAATCGACCGCCGCCATCGATTCTGCAAGGACGCCCTCCTGGACAGTCCCCCACAATTACCATTTTGCCCATCACCTTGTCTCGAATGGGCGGCAAGGATTGGTTAAGTACCAAGTCCTCCTTTAGCTTGAAGAAGGGTACCTTAGGATTCATCAAGGCAGAGCCTAGTTTCATCTCGACTGGTGAAAGTGATGCCACTGTCCCCACAAGTCCATGGAGGGTCACACAGATGCCTAACAAGCTAAAGATGAAGAAGGAGCTGCCGGGGTAACGGCCGCATGCAACCTTCATTGGAATTGGCGATGGCGGAAATGGCCATGTCAACAGCCAGCCACCAAGACGACGATCTCTGTCAACATTTCCCCACGCCGAAGAGCTCAGTTTTACAAGAAGCTCTTCCATCTCTCTCTCTCTCTCTCTCTCTCTCTCTCTCTCTCTCTCTCTCTCTCTCTCTCTCTCTCTCTCTGTGTGTGTGTGTGTGTGTGTGTGTGTGTGATTAGGGGATACTCCCACAAGGGTATTTTTTAATATATCTGACCCCTTTTACGACCACGCCCGGCCGCATCTGGCCGCAATGACGTCCACACACAAGTTGAAAAAAGTGCTAGTCTGATCTGTTCACGAGTCTGATCATTATTATAACTTAAGAGTCAGCTGTCCGTCCGAGAGTCAAGAGTCGACATCGCCGTTCTGGATTCCTGCTCTCCCAAACTCGCTCAGCTTCTCCTTTTTTTTTCGTTTTTTTGAATTTGGATGATTTCTCAATTTACGTGTGTCATCATCCTTGCTTGCACAGGGGCCATGCTAATCTTGTCTAAGTTCTCTGTACCGGTCCAATCCTCTTAACGGATGTCTGGCAAAGGACCTCCCGCAGTCAACGTATTCCGTTGACGTCAGCAATTTTTGCCATGTGCCGCGGCCGCGTTTGAGCCCATGGTGGGCCGCAGCACTCTCGCCGCCACTGATCGGGGGTAYCAATCAGGCCCACCTGTGTCCCTACCGGACGTCCAGGCCCTCCTGCATCAATGTCCGCTACTGGCCGACTTCGAACCTGGCGTGAATCATTTCAACCGGCCGCGTTTGAGCCCATGATGGGCCGCAGCACTCTCGCCGCCGCTGATCGGGGGTACCAATCAGGCCCACCTGTGTCCCTACCGGACGTCCAGGCCCTCCTGCATCTACTGTCTCTTATACACATCTAGATGTGTATAAGAGACAGGTACCAATCAGGCCCACCTGTGTCCCTACCGGACGTCCAGGCCCTCCTGCATCAATGTCCGCTACTGGCCGACTTCAAACCTGGCCTGAATCATCCCATTCGAGAACCTGGCCTCCAAGAGACCCAAAACGTAGTCCGGGTCCGAACAGACATTTGTCCATTCCAACATGCTGCAAAGTCCGAAACGACGCCCTGGAATCAGACCAAAATAGACCCGACAAAGGAGTCAGCCAAAAATAAACAAACGCATAAAGAAACAAAGAGATGCCAAATCCTAAGGGGCCACGCTTGGAGTAGCTGCATGCCAGGTCCAAAACCAGGCCCTCAGCACCTGTCGGGTCCCAAAAGGGCCCCGTGGACAGACGCCAGCATGCTACACGCATGAAGACTATAGACTACTAGGGGACCTGTTGTGGCTTCGCCCGCAATAATGAAGGAATTGGCTTAGGGTTTGGTGGTGGTTGGATTAGAACTAACCTGTTGTGTGTTTCACTTCCCATACCTGTCTCTCCAGCTTACCACAATTTCTCCTTAGTTCCCAAGAAGTATTCTTTCTCAGATGTCAGGAGATAGGCAATCCTGCGTACAGCATTATTGCGATATGGCTCGAAGTGTATATGCTTTTGGTCTGGTTGTCTCATGAATGTGACTTGCAGCATTGCACTGACATAATCCCATGAGTATGAGTCGCACAAAGTACCTCTCTCTCTCTCTCTCTCTCTCTCTCTCTCTCTCTCTCTCTCTCTCTCTCTCGCTCGCTCGCTCGCGCATTTTTGTTTTTGTTTTTTGAAGGGTCTCGATGGACCACGGATCAAATTCAAAATTGACCGACGCAGATACTACATTTGATTGCGTGGGGGGGGAGGGTTGTGTGGTAGGCAGTTAGATTGGGGTCGTGCGTTTTTTTTTTTTGAAGGTCTCGATGGACTTTCTCTCTCTCTCTCTCTCTCTCTCTCTCTCTCTCTCTCTCTCTCTCTCCCCCCCCAAAATCGGAAAAAGTTTGTTACGCACGTTCACGTTGCACCAAACTCATGAAGAATGTAGATCGACGCACCAAATTCAAGTTCACCTCGCAAGTAGCTTTCACTTTTGCTCTCTCGCACGGGAGCGTCAGCGGGAGTTTGCGCTGCACACACACGAGAGAGAGAGAGAGAGAGAGTTATGCGGCGTGCGCTCTCTCAATCGAGAGAGAGAGAGAGAGGTGCTTCGGATTGGTGCAACGTTTTCGGAGCCGTGTGCTACGTTCTCTCTCTCTCTCTCTCTCTCTCTCTCTCTC